AAAGAGCTCTGTCGAGCTCACAAGAGCAAATTACTATTAGCGCGGATGTCCATACTGCTTGACCTAACCTGTTACCGAAAGGAACAGAGACGCTTCACTCCATAGGACGTATACTCTATTTCGGAATACGAGAAGAAAATCGAGTGCAGACCACACACCATAAGAGACGACGGCCAAGAGAAAAGCGGTTTTTTCTTGGCCGTCGTCTCTTATGGTGTGTGGTCTGCACTCGATCTTCTCGTCTTCCGAAATCGAGGGTAGATATTCTTAGGCAGCAATACCGATACTACTCTTTGTTCGAACGTCCGAAGTACTAAGGAAGTTCTGAATGAATGAAATTCAGATTCTCCGATTCAAAGCCGTTTTGGAAGCGATCTCACTTGACATGCCTCCAGATGAAAGAAAGGAGCTTGTTGAAAATCCGTTCCAGAATATTTGGAGCCTATGTATGAGGATGAGGTAAGTGTCTCCTGTGTGTGATCATAAGCTTTCCATACTGTATGATATAGTCGATAAGTAGCGATATGTATTGATCGGATTGAGGGCGGAAGTTGTGTAGTGGCAAGTGGCACGCTTACCACGCGAGCGATTCGGGGATCGAATCCTGCAAGTCATTGTATAGGCCACATCGCATTCAAACGCCACTACGAATGTACAAATGGAAGTAGAATGCGTGCCGCATCCCAAAAAGGGATTGATCAACGGCAAATGCTTTATCCTTTTTCTTTATGTATTGATCAATCTATCGCTCCTCTTCCCTAATTATAGGTATCCGACAGGAGGCTCGTTGCACGGAGAGAAGGCAGAGACGCAGATCGCTCAGCGGACGAGTCGCAGCGCGTATTTTAGCGATATAGCATCAATCTGAATAGAATGTACTATAGTACGTCTCAGCACGTGCAGCAACTCGTCCGCTAACCCGCCTGCGTCCCTGCCTTTTCGTCGCGCGGCAGGCTTCCTGTCGGTACCCTTAATAATGTTATGTAATGCATCATATCAACAGGGAAGAGAACGTGAGTCGACATCTGCCTCTATGAATACAAAAGAGACTATGAACATCGCCAGATGCAGTTAGGATAATTGCGGTTTTCTTTTATACACTTTCAGGCGGTAGCTGACATAACGACACGATTTCGGGCGTTCCAAGGTGGAATTCTAGCGAGAAGGGCTGATCGCTTAAACGCTATCATGAGCGACATGACCGACATCCATTGGGCAGACCATCTCGCTGAGGCACTTGGTAAGCACACGTTCGAAATATGGTCCGTACTATAGATCAGTGGTTCGTCCCCAGTACCGTACTCAATATGTTGTCCAGATGTTAGCCCGGCGTTTCAGAGTTCTTAGAGTCATGGGTTGGGTTGGATGGCGCTCGAATTATTTGATACACTGCCTTGAACTATGAATGACACCACAAGCAGTAGCTGCTGTGGAGTAGATTATCCACGTGAATTAGAAATGGTG